GAGAGAGAGAGAGAGAGAGAGAGAGAGAGAGAGAGAGAGAGAGAGAGAGAGAGAGAGAGAGACAGACAGACAGACAGACAGACAGACAAACAGACAGACAGACAGACAGACAGACAGACGAGTGATACAAGATTGGTCTACCACGTACCTGCGCTGAAGACATCGCCACGCTGAGAGAGAGAGATTGAGCGATACAAGATTGGTTGTCACGTACCTGTTGCAGAGCATTGTGCGGTCCAACGAAGTGAAGAGGCGGCCATAGCCGCCAAGCTCGGCCACGGAGTAACGAAGGAGGATGTGAGAAGAGAGACTGAGAAGAGAAAGAGAGAAGTTGAAGCAGAGGAAGAAGAAGGGAGAGATTACAACAAAAAAAAACAAGACAGCTAGGGTGTAAGAAGAAGGAGGCGAGGAAGAAGGAAGGAAGGAAAAAGGTGGTGAAGAAGAGGAAACCGACAGCCATAGCCGGATGAGGAGTTGACCGGCGGAGTTGACCAGGAGTTAACCGGGGTTGACCAAGCATTGACCAAGGTATTGACCGGCGTTGACCAAGGCATTGACCGACGTTGACCAAGGCGTTGACCAAGATTGTTGACCATGACTTTGACCAAGCTGGAGCCGGTATAATCTCGCCAAGCCTTCAACCTACCCCCTTGCCCTATGGATGTGCACACACCGTGTGGTACTTGCTGAGTCAAGTCGTTTTTTCTCTTCTTTTTGCATTGAGTCTCTTTTGTCCAGGTGTAGGAACTCTGTGGATGAAGGATAGGGCCTTGTTGACCAAACCCGCACGGGCTGAGTAGGACTAAAGGTTGTGTCTAACGACTCAACTGTCCTGGAGGACACGAACCCTCCCAAGGACCGGTACTGACCGGCGGGCTGCTCGGTGTGGCACGGTGGGCCCAAAATCCGAGTTGTGGGCTGCACAACAGGCCGTCTAAGTCTTGAGAGGACTTGCTGATCGTGTCGTCCTGTCTGCGGCGTTAAATAATTCCTGAGGAGTTATGGTGGATCTCCTGAAATGCCTCCTGATCAGTAGTGAGTCCTGTAGTGACAGCCTTAGAGTAGGTCCAGGCTAGTGACCCTAGCTAACAGGATCCTGTCCAGATTCTGTAGTCCATAGATTGAGTCAGTAGGTTGTCCCAGTCAGGGGGTAGAGTCTAAGTGGTGAGGATTGGAACTACTGGTTAGTTGTGCACCTGACACCATGGTTGACACCCGTGGAGGGAAGAGTACTACCCCTTATACCCAGGCTCAAGACGAGCAAGCCGCCGCCATTATGCAAGAGAGAAGGGAGAAGAAGGAGAAGAAGGAGCTCCTTAAGCAGGCGAAGTTGAAGGCAATCGCAGAGGAGCAGGCGGCGAAGAAAAAGAAGCTGGAGGAGATGATGAGATTACAGCAGGAGGAGGAAGGCTTGGAAGGAGAAGATCCCCTCGAGAGAAGGCGCATTGGAGACAGAGGGGAGAGCAGTGGCACAAAGGGAGAAGATGCGTGGTTGGAAAAGAAGATGAGCGAATGGGTTGCTAATTTATTGTTGGGAGAGGACAAAGAGGCAATGTTATATGTGCCTCAGGAGGAGAAAGAAGCCGTAGCCAAGGAGCTGGAAGCTATGGAAGATCCCTTGGACCGCCAGACGCTAGAAAATGAAAAGAGATTGGAATGGAAATTGTGTCTGGCAAGGGAAAGAAGAGGAGGGAGGAGGCCAACCGGAAAAGATACAGTCGTGCAGGCAAGAGGTGCAAGCGCAGCAGGATATCCCGACCAAATTAGACAAGATTCTGAGTTATCCAGAGACCTTGGGTCAGGCCCGGATTGAACAACACCAAGCCAGTAAGGGCCAAGACGTGGCCCTCCATTCCATCCGGACCGGGTTCCGAGAGTTTGCGCGTGACGTGGTGACCCACGTCGGGTCCGTTAGGAGACTGAAAGAGGGCGCAAACAAGTTTTGGTGCATGCGCTATTGAAGGCGCCAAAGTAGTGGCCACGGTAGAGGCCGAAGCGCGTCCCCGCAAAGAGTGTGTCAAGCTCAAGTTCCCAGATGCGTATGGCGGGAAATCCGAAGAAAATTCTGAATGACTGGGAGGCTCGTGTCAATAGTTATGTATATTTACAGCACATCGCACCTGAGGAGCAGGTCCTGGTAGCCTTCCATGCTCTAAAAGATGACGCGGCCAGTTTCGCTCGGTCCCTAGCGCTCGCAGCCAGTTGTGAGAACAACATAGTTGCTTATTCGAAAGTCACCCCCCTTCCTCAATTCTTCGTACTCCTCCGCGAGCGATTCGCTGATCTTAGGAGAGGCATCAAGGCCTCAGATAAACTGCAAACAATCCACTCGCGACAGTGGAGGAGTGTGAGGGCGCTCAAGGCAATCATGGACGACTTGGTAGCCGTCCTAGACCATGGACGACTTGGTAGCCGTCCAACTAGCCCAATTATTTTATC